TGCATCCTGTTTCCTTAGGCATGTAAAGCTTGGATAATGAGAGAGGGGAAGGGATTCAGGCAAGACTGAAGGATGAGAGGTCCTGGAATTTCAAGAGAGCCATGGGGCAGCTGCAGAAATACTGGGAAGTGTATGAAGGACCAGCGATGCCCGTGATAAAACTGGTATCTCTAAACAAGAGAGATACTGTCTTAATGCTGCCCTCTGCATAATGAAGCAACTTTTGAGGAGCCAGGGCTCTTGTTTTAAACAAATTTCTCACCATCACAGTGGTGGTAGAAATATAGAATGTTCTGAAATACAGATTCAAGAAACCCCTTTCTGGTGGTGGGAGGGGAACCATTACCCTCCCAGTTCTGAAACTTGGCTTGTGGTCATGGGCACCTGAGGCTGGTCACTGAGCAGGAAAGGACAATGCTCTGGCACTTAATAAAGGTGTGAAATCCTCATCAGGAGCAGAGAGGGGTACATTCTGTAATGTACATGTCCTAAGCTCTCTCCTCCTGGAAGGATTTATTTCAGTCTCTCCCCTGGATCTAAACCATAATAACAAAAACAAAATTCTCCCAGTTAAAAAAATAAAAAATGCAAACAAGTAGAAAAATCTCCATTGTGCTCATGACAGAATAACTTTCAGTCAGAGGTGGCATGATTTAGAATTATTTTTTGCAAATATTCTAAACACTGTTTATATTAGTTCCAGCTTAAAAGTGTCTGCTACTGTTGTTGCTAGAACTAAGTCTGATAAAAGGAGTACTCAGTCATGATAGGACTGAAATGAGCTATATCCTGTTTGAAGGTTTTATTTATATAGATTCAGGACAGTTTATAGGAGTTTAAAATGCTGTTTATTGCCATTTTAATTGTCCATTCAACTGAACATTATAGAGCCTATGACCATCAATTACCTAAAACCTGCTTTTATCAGCTACATTCCTATGGTAAGTAGTGTAAATATATATAGATTATATCCATATAAACTCAAATGGTACTCTATATGCAATTAGATATTTACTATAAATCATTCTGAACTGGAGCTTTACCATGATACACAACCCTGAGATATCTGTTTCAGCTCTACAAACCTGCTGGGGGAACACCAGGGCTGAGCAGTCAGCTGGGTAAAGTCGAGGTTAACTACATTCCCAGGGCTCTGAGATTTAATTAAGTAAAATTGCTAGAGCCTGTGGAGGTGGAAGTGTAATGTCAGTGCTGTGTTCTCTTCCCCACTTGAAAACTATACCATTGTAGAATCTGGCAGGTGAAGCATAAAGTTTTAAACAATTCACTCATTGTGGGATGACTTCTTAAGTAGATGATCAGTTACAATGACATCTCAGTACGGTTACCATTTGTTTTTCATAAACATGAAACAGCTTCTTTGCTTTATGTCATGTCCCCTTGTGTCTGAAAAATCTGTTACCTTACATGTCAATTCATTAGCTTTTAGCAGCTTGCCCTTCAAAAATCCCATTCTTCTGAAATTTCTTGGCTTCTTCTCTGCAGTCTCCAGTTATTAATATGGAATTGTGACTCTTTCAAGGTCAAACATGTTTGATCTCTTAAATACCTCAGACTGTAGCTACTGAATGCTACAGTAGTACTGAAGGTTATTAACAGGATAGGGATGAGTCAGGATGGCTACAAAAACTCTGGCTTGAGGATTTTAAAAGTTGCTTTCTGAGCTCCTTTTGCAGAATCTTCTTACAATATGCTTGGAAACACATGGGACTATGAGGTAGAGGTGAAGATAATAGAAGTAAAACCTGCGGGGTGCTTTGGGGTTTTGTTAGTTTGGTTTTTTTTTGTTGTTTGACTGGTTGAGTGTTTTTGTTTCAGTTTGTTCAGGTTTTAGTTGTGGGGGTTTTTTTGGGTGGGGAAGTTAGTTTGTTCTTTTCGAGGGGTCAGAGTTGGTTGTTTTAAAATCTTGAGATGGAGAAGTATAGTCCTATCTAGAACTCTTGTAAGCAGCTGTTCTTCAGGCTGAGCAGAACTGAACAGGGAGCTGAGAATTGGCTGCCAAGAGCCTGCTCCTCTGGAGTGTAATATGCTTCTGCTCTGAATCATTTCTAATTCAAAATAGCCAAACAAAAAATCTGGACCCATTCTCCTATACTACATTTTGTACTAACGAAGGTGGGGGAGCTGCTCAGTAATTATATCTGGCAAGGAAATTGTTTCCAAATGTGAATCAAGTCCAACACAAAAATTTGACTCGTGACTACAGGCTGTGAGGGGAAAGTTACTTATCCCAGTGTGGTGCTAATTTTAATTCTGAAAAAAAAATTATCATCAAGTTATAACAAAAGTTGCTATTTGGAATACTTGTTTAATCTTAAGATTTTGAAGCCGTCTGAGATATTGAACATTATAAAAACAAGCAAACCCAGTGTCTGGACACTGCATGCAGACTGCTTTTTAAGTCCCCTTAGGGATTCCACATCATGGACCCTTAAGACTTGGTCCAAGTCTATGTGATTTATTGTCCTAAAATTGATGAGATTTGCTTGGGATAGAAATGCTGGGAATGAAGGTGAATTCTGATTATCTGAAGGATGTAGTAAGTGAATCTTATTTTAACTATCATTTCATTTGCATTCCCAGGGCTGGAAAATAGCTTAGGCAGACTTGTCTTTGTTGGTTCATATCTCATTATTCACATCATAAATGCCAAGGATTAGGGAAGAAATACTAGGGTTGAAAATATCTCATGCAGAAACTTCTTAGTGGTCAGAATCAAAGAATTGGGAGGCAATGGGAAGATGAAAATAATATGACTGTGTCAGTATGGGGCAATGTCATGTCCTTCTGGGAACAGATTAAGAGAAAATACCTTAGTAATATATGCAGTTTTCATCTGCCTCCACCCTTGTAATTTTCTCAGCTGACAGTGTTCTACAAGTTTATAAGATCCCTCAGTCATCTGCTTCTTGACATTTCTTTGGTTTGGCTTCTCCTTTCCTATAATTTTCTGTGTCAAGTGTTCTTTAACTGTGTTTAAAATTGGCAGCAACAGTGAGCAGGCTTTTTGCATGGCCACAGTTGCTTCCAAACAATGGCAGTAATCTTCTCACCCCTAGGGACAGGAGAGAAGGCAAGAGCTGTGGGACTTCCCTCCACATGAATACTCTGCTTTCCAGCTTGGAGGTGAGCAGTGCTGGCTTGTCCCTGTGCAGGGGAGGCTGCCATGCCCTGCCCTGCCTGCTGGCATTGGGGTCCAAGAGTGGCACCCTAATCCCCTGCAGGTGGGAAAACACAGGGACTGCTGCTGAGGATAACTCAGAAACCGTGTTGTGTCACAGGGAGCACTGTGTGGGAATTGCAGGCTGATGTTGTTGACAGCAGAGGGATGTGGCCAGGAGGAGTGAGCACTGGGATGCTGTCCAACTCCTTTGCAGTTGCTAGAGCCAGCTTGCCTTCAACACCTGTACTGAGGATTGCCTGCAGGAAGAGAAACGATGTTCCACTCTATTCTAGAAAACTATCTCAGGAAGGTTTGCCTGTCCAGTCGTTTGTATTTTCTCCTTCTCAAATTTGTGTGAACCTGAAAAGAGAGGGAAACAGTGTCAGAGTTACCCATCAGGTGAACCAGACATGAATATATCTGACAAAAGAAAGGTGTATGATTTTTGCATTTCATTTGCTGTTTCTTGTGTACAAGCTGTATATGGGTGTACAGCAATTTTGTTTTTACCTTTTGTTTTCTGAAACATCCATTCTAATAGTAAAATGTATGACTCAGGAATCCCTATTAAAGTCACTGAGATTAGGTCAAGGTGATGTTTAATATGATTAAAGTTTGTAAAGTTGGATGGCAAGCATTTACTGAATAACTGCCATGAGGTGCTTGAAGGTGGTCCAAGATGAAATCTTAGAGTGTTAGAGCCTCTATATGTTAAAAAAGTGCAATGTTCCAAGATACTGGAACTCTTGATTAATTCTTCAGCAAATCACACTGATGTCCAACTTTACTTCTCTCTGTGGTGGGTGAAATAATTTGTAGAAAGTGTAAGTTTCTGCATGAAGTTACCAGTCAAGTTAATCCTATTAATTAAAATAATGCCTATTAGTTGTTGATGCTGTTGAATTTTGAAACAATTAAATCCAATTCTTTATGTCTTTTCTAACTGTCACTAAGAGTAGGCTAAAGATCTTTGAAATTTTTCTTAATGTACAAATTTGAGCTGTCACAAGGAAGAGATGAGCTGCTTAAAGTTTAACTAAAAATTACTTAGTTAATCTCTTGCATATTTTTTTTTCATGTTTTGGCCTATGGAAGGCCTGTTCATTATTTCAGAATGTCTTGGCTCACGTCCATTTGCAAGACCTCATTTTTCTTTTGAAATCTGTAGTCTTCACAAGCTTGGCATCTGTGATATCACAAACAATGAATTACTGTGGCTGGAAGTCTCTGGAATTAAAAATCCCTCCTCCATAAGAACATAATTTTTTTACAGAACTGGGGATTTGTTCTGAGGAAACACAGTTGACAAAAAGAAAAAAAGAGTTTTCAAAGATAACAGATTTTTCATCTTCCCCTTTTTCCCCCCCCACAAATGAACTGAAATCCTGATGCTGAGGACTTGCTCTTTAAATAAATGGGATCTTTCTCTCCTCTCTTGGCAACAGCAGGAGTACTCTTGTGCAGTATGACAAGGCTAGCTGGTGCTATATTTGTCTTGTAGCTGTATGCATATTTGCAGGAGGTTGTTTAATAAGACAAAGGCAGAAAGCCAATACAGTTTAAAGAAAGTTTATTCTACCACAGCCTGAACTTTCTGGCTTGGCTTAAAGACAAGGCTACATACTTGTGGAGGATCAGGGAATATCATTACTGATACGAAATTAAAACTTTCCTGAGCTGTCTCTGGAAAGATCAGAGCTTTGTGGAGAAGGAGGGGGGCCTGGGGGTGTGACACAACAGACGTTTTTAAAATGGAGTTCAATAGATGTTTGGGTGCATCAGCAGAAGAGGAAAAAGGAAGGCAAGAGGGTGGGGAAGAAGATACCAATAATGCTGGCAGTAGTGCTGTCCATGAAGAGCTGGATGTGGTACAAATGTACCTTACCTGTTTGCCTGAACAATATATGAAAGTGAAATTCACTCAGACAGCGTACCTGACATGCTGGCTGTTGTTGAAACTCTGCAAGGTAAGAAAATTTAGTACAAGTCTGTGATATTTTTAGTTAAGTTCCTATGTGCTTTAAATATAAATTGATCAAATTCTCTTCTGAAGCATTTGAGAATTCTTTACTATGTACTGTGCAGTTTCCTTCATGGTTTATTGGTAGTAGGAGCTTCGTAAATATTGACATTGTACCCAGAAACAGGTGATCCAACAAGGGAAAACTCCATGAGGGTTACTCATGGAGTACTACACAAAGCAGTACATTAATAGTTACTAGCCAGTTTATCTCTGTACACAGTTACATAATTGCAAGAATTTCAAGATGATTTTTGATTAATTTCTAGGTGCAATTTCTTGTCATGCTCTTTGCTGATTTGCATTAATCTCTTGTGATTGGATGAGCACTGGAATGTATCTAACTCAGAAAATATAAACCTTATAAAAGTAAAGAATTGGGTGGGGGTTTGGAGCATTTTCATCAATGTACTGGAGTTATTGAGGGTGTTATTTTAAATTTGATCTTTCCACATCTAATAAAAATACTTTTGCCTAATGTATTACTGGGTAGGGAAGCAACAAGGCAATGGACCAAGTATAAATGCTATAATTCATTCCATTTAACTCCTTGCAGAAAGCTACTGTAATGTTCAGATCCAAGCAAAGAAACATTGAATTCTACAAAAGTCATGTGATTTAAGCTTTTAGATTTAATCAGGAAAGCACTGAGACATTTGAGCTTCAAATGCTGCTGTTACAATGGTGTAACAAGACTGTATTAGTAAATTTAGAATGTGTAACAGGTCTTTGTTTCTCTGTTTCTGCATTCAGATCTTACTGTCGTGGGCATTTAGTTGATGGGCAGATCACCATATAGATCAAAACAAATGTTAAGGCAATATTTTCTGTCTGTTTTTGTTTCAGAAGTATGTGGCAGAGGAGATCTGTGATGATGATGATGATGATGATGATGATGATGATGATATATATATCATGTTATATCAATATAACATCAATGTAAACTGAACACCACTCACAGTGTTATGTGTTGGATTGCTGGAGAGCTTTGTTTCCATACATATTCCACATTTGTAGTGTCTTTGCTCCTGTCTGGATGTAGCACTTACCCTGTGGTGCCAATTGCCTGCATTAGGGGGCAGATAGAGACCCTTCCATAGGACTTTTTCTGGTATTATTTTCTGCAGGGATCTTTAGTGAGTCTGACTGCAAAGAAGTAGGAGTCCACACAGCCATGGGAATGGAGTACACAGCCCTAGGGCAGGGGCCAGAGACAATTTATGAGGCAGACTCCTGGTCAGCACACACTTTGTGATGCTTTTGAGGAGTGCTGATCCAGGGTGGGGAAGGTTGAGCCTTGTCTGGTTGCTGATTTGTTCGATTGGTTCTCTTGTGGTTTGGACTATTTGCAGCCATTGAGTTTGTAGGTTTTAAGAGCCATGCTTGTATTACAGAAAGAGGCAGAACATCACTTGTGACTACAAATCTAGTAGTTGGTCTGGGTGTTTGCAACAACTTCAGTCCCCAGGACTCACTGCCTGTGCATGGATTTTTCTGTAGATTAATTGTGAAGTGTGCACAAAGTTGAGTGGTCTGCACACAATGGTTTTGCACAACGTGGTTGAGTTATCCTGTAGGATAAATGGTTGTTCCATTTCTTTGTGAAGAGTTTCTAAGAAGACAGGAAGAATTTTTAAAGTACATGATTTAGAAGAGATGTTTCTGTATGTTTTTTTTATGTTCTTGCATATGTTGTTAAATTTGCACAGCGCATTTAAGTTTTTCTTGTTGGGAAGGAACAAAAGTAGAATGAGAAGAGGTTATGTAGCTTCTGTAAAAATCACAAATTTCTTCAGAAAGCTTTCTGTGAGCTTTACAATGCCCTGGCTAAGCCAAGAGGATAACTAAACCTCTCATTTATTAATGTATCTTTCTTGCTGAGCTTTCTTAAAGACTGTTTGGATTTGAGACCCCACTTTCTTATTTCCTGACACTCTTCGATGACTTAAATCTCTCCCAAGTCCTAATCCATTCAAAAAGTGCTAATTTTTTTTTTCTCCTTCCCCTCACAAGAACAAAAGCAGCACAGTGTTGCTTTTTCTCAGGTTCTGCAACTTGGCAGAACGCAGCAATCCTGCTGTAGTGGGAGGGGAGGGAATGCCAGCAGCACTGAAATGGTGCTGCTGTGCTACAGAGCAGCCCTTTGTAACAGCTTGTGTACATCCCCTATACCTCCAAATGTTCCCAGTTCTTGGCTGCAGACAGGGCCCCAGGTGCTGATGATTTGGAAAGTATCAGTGACCCCCTGTAACTCCTTATCAATGCTCCCCAGAAAGATTTATGTGTCCTTTGGGTCAGGGGAGCTCACCCTCCTGTACATTAACATGGAGAGAATGAGGAGAGACTGTGTTTAGCAGGTGAGAAACCAATCTGAGTGTGTGCTCATGCAGTTTGACACGAAGTTTAGTTACAAAATAATCAAATTCTACCAATGTGTGATGGGAACATGTGCAATAAGCCTGTCAGAGTTCAAGAGGTATTTTTGTAAACTGACATCTAGGAAATTTCCCACTCGTGTTTCTCTTCCATTTTCAGGGGTCACCAGGACTTGTGGGGATGAGGAAAGAAACTTCAAATCTTTGTTTAATTCAGATTTAACACAAACTTACTTGGATTGATTCTGTTTCAATAGTTCATAATACTTCAGTGATATTCTGTATCTCTGAATATCAAAACCAGATGTTGATTTCCCTGTTATTTACTATACCTTAAGCATTTTCTGTCAGCTCACCTGGTACTTTTTAACAGTCTAAAATCTATACCAAGTGCAAAATATTAGTGAGACAGATCTGCAATTCAAGTTCTTGTCCTGTCTCTGTATTTTTGAGTCCTGGGTTCTACAGAGCTTCCTACAACTGCTTGTGCTGTGAACTTGTACATGCCATGTAATGCACGGGTATGGATCCCAAGTGAAAGATTAAATCACTGTCTCATAGTTTAGGGCACAGGGGCTTAATTCTTTGCTATTCAGTAGATGTTTCACTCTGTGTTCATAATCTTGCTGTCCTTGGCTCAGCTCATAGTAAAGGGGATAGGAAAATTGTTTGATTTTGTTTCTTAATTTATTTTGATTTTTTTCTTCTTATTATAAACATTGTAGGGCTGGATTATCTTCCTGTAATTACGGGCAACGGTAAGGTCAGCCTGAATGAATTTCTGAGCTCTTTTTCAACATGGCTTATTGTGGTCACAGGAAGATTTTGACAGAGGAAGGAGCTGGACTTTGATATACAGAATGTGGGACATGGGTTTAAACAGTGGACAGGTCAACTTGGACCAAAAATTCTGTGAGGAGACCTGACTGACTCCCTTCACAGCTACTTTGCAGCTACCTTAAGAATTTGTTGGAAATGATAAGGTGGTGTGTTTTGTTTTGTTAGTTAGTTTGTTTGTTTTTGTTTTTGGTTGGTTAGTTTTGGCTATTTCTTGTGGGTTTTTTTGTTGGTTTTGTTGTTGTTAGTTTTAGTTTGTTTGTTTGTTTTTGTTATTTGATATACTTACATGGTCTTGCTGCATCTCTAACTCCTTCCTAATAACTTTTGAACATTCTGACCAATCTCAGCAAAATTTGAGTGAGATAAAAGTTAACAGAGTTCACAAATAGCTCTTCAGGGAGTGAAAATAGACTTAGCTAATGCTCCTCCTGAGGGAAAGGCTCCTTCATAAAACTGTCCCATATTAAACATCAGAAATTTTATCAAATGATTCCATTTCCACGCTGGAGAACTGCAGAGCTGTAGGAAAGAGGACTCTGTTGGGTCAGCTGCTTGCAGAAATACATGTTTTCCCAGTAAAGTGTTTTTTGTTTGGCTATTAATGGAACTCCACTGAAGCCTACAGTTTGTCTTCAGTCCTCAGAGTAAAAGCCAAGAAGTGGCTTTAAGAAGTGCAACTTGAGACAACTAAAGAGGGATGTTTTGCAGAAAGCTTTAAACATTCCCTTCCCTCCCCTTTGGAACACTGATTTTTTTAAGCTTTCAGCCAGAATACTCAACCTTCTTTTAGTCATTTGGTCAAAGCTTCCAATATTTTATTTAGGGTCAGGCTCTGAGGGCGAACAGTCTGATTAGATACACTTAACTCCTAAAACATCATAATCTGTTCTATGGGGCTTGTTTTGTTTAGGGGTAATATTTCTGAATCTGTTTTCCTTTAATTTATGCTCCAATTTTCTGGATTCCTTTGGGCCAGAAATATTTAAACAGTCTGTTTTATATTGGAATAGTACTTGCAGTGCTGGGTAGAGCTAAGTGTTATAGAAAGACAAAGGAATGGAGATGGATAACATCAGAGGGAAAACTGGAATATATTGAACTGACAACGAGCTCAGTTCAGATTGGTTTCTCGTTCTGGCCAGAGATTTGGTTCTTTATGGGCAGTGTAAACCATTCAGCATGTGCTGAGCACTTTGACTTCTTCCTTTTCCCACTGCAAAAAGGAATTGAAAGTTTTCCAGTATCTTTAGTATTCATCAAGTATCCATCTCCTGGATCCAGCTCTGAGCTACAAGCAGTGTGTTCAGAGTGCAGGCTGTGAAAGGCTGATGTGCAGAACCATTTCAAAGCATTCTTTATAAACCCGTGCAAAGATTGCTGGAAAAGCCAGCCACATCCCTTGTTTACAACCTCATTCCCTTGAAATTATCACACCTTCATTTACAGGAGAGAAGGTATTTAATAGTATTAAATAGAATACTTTTCATCAGAACTGCCTTTCTCAGCTACCACAAGTTCTCAAAAACCACTATCAATCAAAGCTGCATTATTTTCTTCATGCTGTTGATTCAAGCCCAGTTCCTGTAACAAACCTGCAGGCTCCTGCAGCACTGCAGCTCATGAACCAGGGCAGAACTTTCTTGCTGAATTGTGACTTGATGATTAGCTTAAAAAAATTTGACTGAAATCCTGAAAGACTAACAGAACACACAGGGTGGATTAAGAACCTGTA